GTTTCCCCTGCCTGTGGCAGGGTGGTGGAACTAGATGAGCTTTAAGGTCCCTTCCAACCCAAACCATCCTACGGTTCTGTGAGTTTACTGGTGCTGTCTCCCCTATGCCCAAGCAAAGCAGCCACTGCCGACTGACTCGCCAACACCTGAAGAAGCTCTGCAGGCACAGCAGACACTGTGGCAGCAGCAGCAGCAGCACATCAGCTGCAAGGAATCTGTAAGGGGATATTTATTTACCCCTACAAAGTGATGGCCCAGTGGTGAGATGAAGCTGTGGTTTAGGTACTGCCACATACTGTTCCACTTAGATGACAACACTATAAACACAGGTGTCAGCCTGTGGACATGCTGCCACAGAGCATGCATATCTTTAAGTGTAGACATGCCAATAAGGCTACAAATTGAAGGCTAATTTGTGACTGACTTCACACACATCCATTAAGTAAGAAGGGGAATGAGGAGCACTCCTTTCTGGGCTGTCAAAACAGTGAGTCTACGCACAGAGGAGGCAACAGAAGCTGTGTGGTGGCTCTTCATTCCCTTGTGCCCCTGCCCCAGCCCAAAGAGGTACCTCAGGAAGGGGTGGGAGATGGCAAAGCCTCCATACAACCCCCACTTGCTGGCTCATCTTGCCAAGATGGCACGATGTCAGTTGTACATAATTGCAGCTGGTAAAGGTTAGCAGGCGAGATGAAAGGAGGGAGCTGTGACTCAGGGATGTGTCAAGCCTCCCTGGGATTTTTTTTGGGTGGTGTGCTCACACCCCACCTCTCATTTCAGGCTCTGCCTCAAGCCAAATTCTAGTTCAGTGTGCCCGAGACACCTACTGGAAACAGATGAGCTCAAATTCATCAGGGGGTGGGTAAAGGTGGCTCTGGAAACTCTCTCCCATACTGTTCAGCCAATATGTGCCACTTTTAGTCTAGGTAGGCTACTTCTAGGATGAAAGGATACCTCCTGCATGCTTCTCCACTGTACTCCAATTAGTACCTGCAAAGCTACAGAATAATTCACTTGCTTGTTTCTGTGACACAGTCACATTTCTCAGAAGATCATCAGATTTCTATCTCAGAGACCAGCAGGCAGGCCAATAGGTGATAACATTTGCTGATTATTTGGGGAGGCTAATGTTGCACTGAAGAGGAAACCAGGAAACACTGGTTACCCAGTCACAGCCAAAAGCTGTGTCATACAATATGATGTACATATTTGACAGGCAAAAAGTTTTCCTACCCAGAACATTCATGCCATCCTTAAATTCAAGTCCCTTCTTAATGACCAGCTGGGCTTCTGGTGGCGCTTCACGCACTGTCTCATTCATCAGAGCAAAAGCAGTGTCAGTGACATTAGGTGTTTCTTCTATGGGTGGTGGCACCAGCACTTTCTTGGTGACAGTTTGGATCTGAAGGCAATAAAAAGGGAGGATGAGAATGGAAACAGACTGAATGTAATCCGTATGGGAGATCAGGGAGAAATAATAAAAACAGTCTTCACTTGAAATTCCAGGGGACTATATTTTTTAAGTATTAGACATGCATTCCACAACCTCTTACCCCTCTTGCAAAAATAAGTTTGTTTTTCAATCGTTCCAAGTGTCACGAAGTCCTGGGAGTCTTCCTCATGACTAGGGTGAAAAGTATGGCAAACACTTGTTCCTTACCACTAGGATGTAACCTTTCACAGCTAGTTAGCCCCTTTGTCCTGATGGCTCACAAATGGTGCTTCATGGATTGCATGTTACAAACTGATACCATTTATTTAGAACCAAAAGGCAGGCTCCTCTAAGATCAGTCACAGCAGCAACTCTGCAGCAAGGCTTCTTATTCAGATTGGTCTGCTCAGCTCAAGTTAGCATAGTTTGATGGTTAAGTCAAATCAAAAACTTAGGGCATTTCCAACACTTCACTTGGTGACCGCAAGAGCTCAAAATGGAATATACAGTCCCCTGAGCTCTCTAATTAAAATGTTGCAAGTGACAGGTAAAAGAAAAACTATCAAAGCTGCCAGATACCTATTAAATCAGACCTGAACACCTCAAAAAAAGACAACATCAGCATCTGAATGGATCTGCAACCTTCCTGGTACATGAAAGGCAGAGTCAAGGGAAAGCTACGAAGGAATGGCGAGGGAGAAATGGGCTTGAGTTTACAGCTAGGAAAAAGGGGAGGAGGAAGTGGAAAAAAAAGAGAGATCTGTGACTTGCTGCTTTTAGAAGGGATATCTTCCTCCTGCTTCACACCTTGAGCCTTTCCTGCCTCTTCATGGCTTTGGGACTGGCAAAATGGTTAGAAAGCTATGACCGGTTTGCCATGGTTTCCCATCTGCTCCCTACTTCCCTTGTTCCTAGAAATATGTTTTAGCAAGGCATCAGAAGTGGTACATTAGCTTTTCAAAGAACATGTGCACCTCTTTCCTCTTGAGTTGGATATTTTAGTACTAAGGATGATGATCCAGATTCGATAGATATATTTTTAAATCTTATGGGTTTTTTTTGGGTTTTTTTTGGTGGTGGGTTTTTTTTTGTTTGTTTGTTTTTGGTTTTTTTTTCTTTTTTGGGAAAAAAAGGTTTTAAAAATCTTGTTGTTTAAAAACTTTATGTTTTTTAAAATACCTTATGTCCCTCCTTTCAAAACCTGCTGTCTAAATCTAGAGAGAGGGATATAGACAGAAATTCTACACAGCTTTGTATGAGAAACTCTACAGTTGGCCTGAAACAACCCAACATTCCTGCACGTTTACATTTTTCCAGAGTTAAATTTTATCTGAGGGATGTTGTCAACACAATATTTTTTACGTGAGGTATCCAGAACGTAGAGTCACAGAAATTAAACTTAAAACATTAAACTCTACATACTCACAAATTCCATGAGAGTCAAAGGTCCTCAGCCCTTCTCTGCACAAAGCCAGTCACTAAAAATGCTGAGCTAAGCACCAAATTTGGATTCTGACAACAATATCTGAGGCCAGAAAGCCACTTAAATGCCACAGTTATATTTGTAGATGATAGTCCCATTCTCTTTCATGGTACATAAGATCTTAAGTCTCTGATGGAATAGCCCTTTGCGTTATAAATGAAGATTTTCTTGTGGATCATACAAGAATTCAAGAGATATTGAAAACCCACGAAGGTTCAGAGTGCAGTTTGCAAATGAACCGTCTCAAACTCGCAAGTGAATCTCTACATTGCTTTCTGCCTGACTGCAAGGGAAGGCGTGTGAAACTCCCCCACAGACCACAGCTACACAGCACCATTGCTGTGCACTTCTTAAAATCATTCTTCACAGGATTTCTGCAACAAATTGCTTCCTCCTGAGGCAATCTGGAAACGCTGGATGCTCACGGAGAGACACTGTATACATGTAGGTAGAGAAAATAAATGCTGACACCATTAAAAGCAGTTCATTTTCCTCCTAAACAGAGACACAAGTAAAGCGTAACACCTATGGAGAAGTTAAAGGCACAAGTTCCATGTGGAAAGGAGTGTGACTTTGCAAATGAAATATGGCTTTGTGGCAGAGGCTTTCACTGGCAATTAGGCTGGAATCAGAGAAAATTAAACACTGGAAAGCCAAAAAGCTCAGTAGCTTTTTTGACTAAGTTAAAAAAACCTGCAATGGACTTGGTGATCCATAACTAGTGAAATGACCTGAATATTGACATTACATGCCCTGAAATAGCAATATTAAGGTTCCAAGAAAACTCTCGGACACAGGTAGCTTAGTTCTTCTTTTTCTTGCTTTTTGTCTCTTTGTTGAGATATTTGACCACTTTCAGCTGACCAGAAATTTAATTCTCCTCTCTTCCACAGTTCAAATGAGGGAAAGGAAGAAAAAAACTCATGAGTGCCCTGCTCTCCCCTCACTCGATTTTGCAGAAATGTATTTGACATTACATGTATTGTTCAGCCACCTACAGTTTGAGCACATGACTGACATTCCCATGATGATTTGGAAATATTGAGAATGTTCTGTCCTTAAACCCCCAAGGACAATATGTTTTTATGTGGAAGCCCAGAGAAATGAAGCAATCCAAGCCCTTTTGGCAGCTTAGGTTGCCCTCCATTCTTCCATCCCCCAAGGCCTCTTCTCCCATCCCCTCTTCACTTTATTCTTTGTGGCCATAACCACAGCTTCAGCTATCATGCCATTTCACACAGGAACGCTAAAGAGCAGGTTTGGCAAAAAACCCTGTTCCATCAAAAAACAACAAAAAAAATAGAAAAAGAAAAGAAGTCTGCATTACTGCCAAACGAATTAGTTGTAGGAAAAAAATCAGCTTACATAGAAGAAACATGCGTAAGAGGAAATCAGGAATCAGGCATTGATCATCTATTTTACCCCTTGAAGTGAAGCTCTTTTGATTAAGAATTGGTGAAAACCTTTTAGACAAAATTATCCACCCTCAGAGCAAGCAGCATATGCTGCAAGCATCCTTCTTTCCAAGGTGCCTCAAACCTGGCCTGATGGAGCCACCTGTAGGTGGGTCAACCACTTGACTGTATGATCCCCACCTAGTCTGGATGCTAATACAGCAACAGGAGTTATGAGAGCTTGAGTTTTGGGCTGCATTTCCACTGGCAACGAGCTGAAATGAAGATCATCCATATATTAAAAACAGGGCATTGCAGAGCCATCAGCTCTGTAACTAACAACCAAGATCAAATCAAACTGGGTGAAAGATCTCATAATGCATCAGCTATTCAGTCCCAAGCCAGCATTCATGATCATATATATTGTATAAAGTGAGGGAAAAAGATTAAGTTTACTTAATAACAAACTTAAAATCATCTTCTTAAAAAAAGAAAATCTATGAATCTGAATAATAAAACAAAGCAGCTGTAAATAATATTTTTTTCATTTACCTGCTCAAGACTTAAGACCTGTATCTCTATTTGCTTCACCATTTCTGTCATTTACCTAAACAATAACACAGACAACCCTGGTGAGTAAAAGATAGAAAAGACATTACCAAGGATTAGAAGGATTTACCTGCTGAAAGCATGCTTGGACTAGATTTTCAGGGAACAGGTTTCGGATGAGATCCAAGAAAGCATCCAGGCTAGATACTTCATCATTCTTCTTCCCTTGACCAAGCTGTTTCTTGAGTTTTGGATTCCCTGGATGGATGGCTAAAACTAAAATCACACCCAGCACAGCAGCAATAATAGTGGTGGACATGTAGTAGACCATGGCTCTTGTACCCAATCGGCCACTTGCTTTAGCATCTAAACCAGATAGTCCTGCAGGTGTTTTTATTTTAGGAAACAAACAAATATATTGAGACTCAATAATCATCAAATAAAATCCTTTATACTTAGCAAAGTTTAATAACTCAGGTGCCTACTTTTGTCCTTGTGAAATTCTCAGCACTAAATACATTCTCCCTCCAGTTCTTCTGTGAACAATGTCTGCTGCTACTAATTTGAAGAAAAACATGTAAGATTCCATCTAACCACAGAAGAGATATGGATAAATAGAGAAGATATTCTACTATCTTCGCCCTTGATTGCTGCAAACTGGTCATGGCTGACACCACAGCTTCAAGAAGTCTAGGCTTGTTAGTGTCATGCCATCTTATTTGCAAGGTCTAACACAGTAAGTAGATGAAATAGCATATTAAGAAATTTCTGATGTTCAAGAAGGTACATGTGTCTGAAAATAAATTCACTGGAGCATCTACATACTAAGGCAAATGAAGTTAATCAGAAATTAACTCTGAAATACACACTGCAACTGCAAAATCCCTGACAGGTTCACATTATTACTACTCTTAGACTGGAAAAAGCAAACCAGGTGATATCTGTAGCAAGCATCTTAAAGTATTTATGGCTAATAGATCTTACCTGTGATTAAACTGGAGATAATTAAAGGGAGGATCAGCATTTTTAGCATCCTCATAAGTATATCTCCTGGAAAGGCTATTAACATGATGATGTCAGGGTCAATAGGAGTTGCTAGACGAAGAAGACCCCCACACACTGCACCCAGGATGACACCTAGAAGAAGAATAAAAGAGAGCAGCTAGGTAACATAAATATACCTGAATGCACATCAATTACTCATAAGAATAGCCTGGAAGAAAAATGGTTACATGAGGCAGAAACAAGGAAGATTTCTGGTACAGAAACAGATTTTGGAAGGCTTATCCTCCTGATTAATATGAAGCTGTAACACGCTTACCATGTATCTCATGATTAAAGAGAAGTTGTAGTGATGCAGAATCTTCTGCCAGCTGAGCTTACACCTGATGTACTGTCCTGCAACACAAATTCGCTGCAAACCAGAATGTTACTGAGGTTTAGTAATACTGTGTAGGCCTTGCAATACATTGAGGGATAGTCACAGATAATTCGTATCATTGTTCTACAGGCACCAAGATGTGATTTCTATAATGCTATAGAGAACTGATAAGAAAGCAGGGTTAGGACCCAGCTCTTCAGAGTATAACATCTAGCTCTCAACATGAGAATAGTACCACCTGAAAACAAGTCAGTGTGAGTAGCTATTTTACAGCCTAAGAAAAAACCTGCAGAAAAGCTAGAATAGGCTTGTGAGGGAAACAGACTCAGGTTTCACCTGGATGGTTTTGGAAGGGAGTGCCTGATCTGGAATATTGCACATATCATTGAAGAAAACTTATCATAGAATCACAGAATGGTTTTGGTTGGAAGGGTCCTTCAAAGGTCATCTAGTCCAACCCCCCTGCAATGAGCAGGGTCATCTTCAACTGGATCAGGTTGCCCAGAGCCATATCCAGCCTGGCCTTGAATGTCTTCAGGGCTAGTGCATCCACCACCTCTCTGGGCAGCCTGTGCCAGTGTTTTACCACCCTTGTTGTAAAAAATTTTTTCCTCTTGATTCTTAGTACTCATTTATTACTCCTTCCCTTTAACGGTCTGCATCCTTTTCCTTGTGCTTATACTCTCAAATCACACACAATCTCTTCATCACTTAGCTGTTATCACTGTACAAATCTAAAGCCCTCTCTCAGGATTGAGAACGTAGAAGAATAGTCTATAGGACAAAAAGGTCATGTTCACTTCTGTAACATGGTCTTTGTGAATGGATATTTTATGTTTACATCCAGGATGCCTTTATTTTCCTGGTCCCACGCCAAATTCTCAAGTATAGTAAAAAACTTGATGGCAAAGCCTAAATTGTGACTTGCAGCAACTATGACTCTTTGAAAAAACAGTTTGATACAATGGAAAGTACATATGCATTTAAAATAATTTCTGGAAATGCATCAGGCACCTTCTAAAGATGATTCAATTCAAATACTGTCTAAACACTTCAGTGGTATGGGTTTCAAAGGCTGAAAAATATGGATGTGAAATTTGCAGCTCAAGACCAGCTGCAGCTGGTCTTTCAAACAATAACAAAATAGAGTATGTCTGTGAATTTGCTGCATTTGGCTGTTAGTCTTTCAGTGAAAAAGAAACAGGCAAAGAGCCAGTGAGCCACAGTAAAATGTCAAGCAGTTCCGTATTTGGAAGCTGCTAAAGCCAGAGGCAACATTCAGGATGATCTCATGGAGTGCTGGCTTACAAATACAAAGAGGGGGAAAACCTTAAAAGCAACAGAGGATGAACTGAGAGGTAAAAGACGAAGGGAAGAAGATTTTGAAGAGTTTTGTCTTCCCCACAATCTACCCCAAATAACTTAGACAAAAAAATGTGTAGTGAATTTAGTTCTACTGAATGACATTGATCTGACTGGCCTTGGGACTTAGATCACCCTCCATTCAACGTCAGATACAGAAGGTGTTGCAGTGGTGCGGGTTTGTTCCATGTTGTGTCAGTAACACGCTGCACACCTGAACTAAAGGGCCAGTGGAGAATCTTCGCTGGAGAAGGCTCCAGGGAGACCTTAGAGAAGCTTCCAGGGCCGAAAGTGTTCAACAAGAAATCTGGAGAGGGGCTTTTAACAAGGACTGTAGTGACAGGACAAGGGGGAATGGCTTTGAACTGACAGAGGGGAGATTGACATGAGATATCAGGAAGAAGCTCTTCCCTGTGAGGGTGCTGAGGTGCTGGCACAGGGTGCCCAGAGAAGCTGTGGCTGCCCCATCCC